TTTGATGACTAAGAATAAAAGTAAATATATGATCATGAGCCAAGGGGCACTCCACTTTGTCATAAATGATCTTGTTACAACTTTTCAGGCAGAAGGCAATGACTACACTAAACTTCACTAGTGAGTCAGTTCTCACTTAAACGGTTCAATAAAAAAGACAAACCAAGTGTCATCATGTAAGAGCAATGAAATGGGACAGCGGCAGACCAGGCAGCAGCCAGAACGTGCTATCCACCAGCCCTCTCCAGGCCTCAGTTTCACATTTATGAAACAAAGGGAAATGCTCTCAGTTATTCCCACTAGGAAGTTACTGGTCTTTTGGGCAAGACAATTCTTGGTTGTACAAGTCTATCCCGCATACTGAGAACATTAAGCCTTTCTGGCCCTTCCCCCTAAATGGTGGTAACTCTCCCTAATAGTTCTGACAACCAGCAAACACTGCCCCCACATATATTTCTGAATGGAGAGGGCGGGGGGGGGGTCGTTAATTTGGGTACACTTTGTTTCCTTAGTAGATGATCTCTTTCAGGTTTCTTCAAGTGCTACAATTCTATAAATTAGTAATCTTCAGTTTTACTGAAGTGACAAATCCGTGACTGAAAAAAGAGTATGGAAAGAAGGAAGTCATGGATGGTTTAGAAAAAACACACGGTAATTTTCGACCCAGCAATCCCATTTCTAGCGTGGAGCCTAGGGAGATCAACAATATAAGGATTCTGGTGTGTCTGGGTGGCTCAGTCGTTAAGCGTCTGCCTTCAGCTCAGGTCATGGTCCCAGGGTCCTGGGATTGAGCCCCCACTTTGCTTCGGGCTCACTGCTCAGCAGGAAGCCTGCTTCTCCCTCTTCCACTCCCCCTGCTTGTGTTCCCTCTCTTGCTGTGTCTCTCTCTGTCAAATAAATAAATAAAATCTTTTAAAAAACAAAACAAAACAATATAAGGATTCATGAGCTAAGGTTTAGTCATCACAACACCACTTCTAAGAGTTGAGTAATTTGAAACAAACCAAGTAGGTAATACTCACTGAGCACTTACTGGGTGTCACAGACTGGGTGACAGACATAAACACTTTACTTCCTTTCCACTCTAAGTGAGGCACATCACTTAGGAGCTTAATACACAATCTCAGGCCCCATCCCAGACCTTCTGAAGCAGAATCTATAACTTAACAAGCTCCCAGGTGAACATTAGAGTTTAAGAAGCACTACTTTAGGGGCACCTGGGTGGCTCAGTGGGTTAAAGCCTCTGTCTTCGGCTCAGGTCATGACCTCAGGGTCCTGGGATCGAGCCCCGCATCGGGCTCTCTGCTCAGCGGAGAGCCTGCTTCCTCCTCTCTCTCTCTGCTTGCTTGTGCTCTCTCTCTCTCTCCAATAAATGAATAAATAAAATCTTTTAAAAAAAAAAGCACTACTTTACAAGTATTAATTTATTTGATCTTCATAAGGTGTAATTAATTTTAATCATGACAGCTCTATAATGTAAATAGAATCATCCTTCATTTTACACATTAGTAAATTAAGGCATAGAGAGTATCATACAACTTGCATAGTGACTGTCAGAGCCAGGATTTGAACCCACACACTCTGGTTCCAGAATCCAAGCTCTAAATCATCACTGCCTATTATTTCTCAATTTTTAAATAAGTTATAGTAGCATTTCTGTAAAATGTAATTTCCTGTAGAGATTAAAACCGATGTCTAAGCTCATTAAGTGACCCACCCTGAAATAACCATAGGCCCTAAATGAACAATTACAACCAGGCACAGCTCCTAAGATCAACAAAAAAGGGAAAATTCCATTTGTCTCCATACTCACTCCACCCTATACCTGTGGCCCCTCACCACGGCCTTGTGGCAGACAGCCTCTCCTTTGCTAGTCTGCTCACTGCTTCCTTGCCGTGTATTCAATAAACTTTTATCTCTTTTATTCTGTTTGGGGTGAATTCTTTCACCACCAGCACTGCCGGCCTCTACCTGATCTGAGTGCCCCACGTTTGGTGCCCCCCCTGACACCCCACAAGTGATCTTAGGTGAGAGGCTGAACCTTTTTAAGCCTCATTTTCTTGATCGATGAAATGAAAATAGTACCCTACCTCCCAAGATCATTGTGAGGATTAAATGAGGTACTCTACAAAAAGCACAAGCACTGAAGATTATTTCTCTTTATACTTTTTCATTTGCCAGAATTTCTACAGTGACTACATGTTACAATCCAGTAAAGAGAAAAAAAAAAGATAGCGCCTGAGATTGTCAACTATCTCATGGGCTATTACAAAGAAAGTACCTATTCCTCCGATTAGATAACAGAAGACTGAACTCAAGCAGTAACAGTTGAGTAAGATATCTAAAAAAGATCTTTAAGTATGATTAAATAGCACCATTTCGTCTCCAGGAGGGCCTTTCCTGGAACAAAGTCCACCACCTACTTTCAATGAGACATTCCAACTGCCTGGCAGTACCTGCCTGACCTTGAACAGGTTACCGGACCTCTTGCAAAGCCTCACTTTCCCTCATCTGAAAGAAAGGATGCTACCACCTTTGGATCTACTCTGAGGATTTAATGAGAATATGTACATAAAGAACTAAGCACAGAGGACTGGCAAAAAAAGCATGATGTCAGCCCAAATCTACCATCATCACCAGAGGTGTCATTCTTTGGCTGAGTGACACCTCTTAAGCTGCTCCAAGCAATGAAAACATACTCATTCTTTCCAATGGCAGTTCAATAGTATTTCCATTATTTTCTAACCAATTAGATCTATGAAGACCTATTTCATTACAAAATTATCAAGGCCACTCTCCATTTTAAGTAATTTAGATTCACTAAAGTATATTATTTCACATGTGGATTCTTCACTACACAACTAGTAGTAGCAAGCTAATTCAGGTGGGGGTTTCTCCACATTTCTCGTACCTCTCTATACAAATACATTAGTATACAACTGAGTAGGTCTTAGGCTTAAATACACGAACTCCATCAATCACTACCAGCTATAATGTAGGTCAAGGCTTTCCACCTGATAAAATTAGATCAGAATCAGTGTTAAGATTTAGAAAAGCCTAAGGATCACCCAGTCTGATCCTTTCGTTTTGCAAATAGATTTAGGAAATGTAGTTAACTAGTGAACAAGGAAAACATTCAAATGCTAATCTACTTTTTCAGGAATTAGTCCAAATCCTGAAAGGAACACATAGTAAACCTCAATTTAGACTTTTAAAATGACATCAATTTTTAGCTCAGCTGAAGGTGTTACTATTATTATCACATTCTGAGGTGTAAGTGGGAGCTTCCTTTCTCACTTTCAAGAGTACTGAGTCTACGGCTCTGAATTGTTTCAAGACATTTATTTATTACAGGGAAGAGGGAGGAGAGAAAGGTCAGTCACTTTAAACTCTTATTTGACATCTAATTCAAAGAACTAATAGTCATTTTCTTTCTAATTGAAGCAAAGAGTTCATAAGCACAGTAAAAGATTCTGAGAATACTCTCCTTCACATTCATATAAAAGATTTTAAAGAAACACAAATGGCACCTGAACCTACGAAAATATGCTCTACTTCATTCATTAAGATAAATGAAAATTAAAATGACAAAAATAACAAAATTCTATCAGATTTGCAAAAATCTAAGTCATTAGGCTTGACAAAAGATTCGTCTTTGGAATGCTAACTTTGCAATTCCCTAATCTAAAAACCAGTGACAATCATTTCTACTCACAAGCAAGTATGTACTCATGCATGGGTATGTGTCTATACTTATATATAAAATTTAATGCTAACATGTTCTGGAGAAACTAAGGGGAAAATAGGCTTACTTTTATATTACTTGTTGAAGTTTAACTTCTATGAAGAGAAATCTGAAAATATGCATCAAAATTATAAATGCATATAGCCTTTGACCAGCAATCCCACTTCTAGGAGTTCATCCAACAGATTACTTGTACACAGAAGAGATATCATAGGTAAAAGGATATTCACTACAACACCACTTGCAGAAGTGAAAAACTGCTCACAATGCGAATGTCCCTTAATAGCAGATCGGCTAAAACGATGGTAGACTCATGAAACAGAGTATTATACAGCCATTAAATAAATGAAAATTACATAAATATTAATATGGAAAGATCTCTAAAAGATTTCAAGTCAATAATGTGCTGCATAGGGGCGCCTGGGTGGCTCAGTGGGTTAAGCCTCTGTCTTCAGCTCAGGTCATGATCTCAGGGTCCCAGCATGGGGCTCTCTGTTCAGCCCCACCCCCACCCCCAGCCTCTCTACCTACTTGTGATCTGTCAAATAAATAAATAAAATCTTTAAAAAAAAAAATCTTAAAAAGAATAATGTGCTGCATATAGCACCATTAATTTTAAAATTTACATATAAACATATTTATGCATGAGCATATATCCTTCTCATTCTATTTCCTTCTATACATTTCAATTTCATTCTATTTACATTCATAACCCTGAGATGGAGACCTGACTAAAATCAAGAGTCAGACGCTTAACTGACGAAGCCACCCAGGTGCCCCTATTTTTTTAAACGACTTTAAAATATTATTTTAGGGGCGCCTGGGTGGCTCAGTGGGTTAAAGCCTCTGCCTCCGCTCAGGTCATGATCTCAGGGTCCTGGGATCGAGCCCCACATGGGGCTCTCTGCTCAGCAGGGAGCCTGCTTCCCCCTCTCTCTGCCTGCCTCTCTGCCTACTTGTGATCTCTGTCAAATAAATAAATAAAATCTTAAAAAACAAAATACTTATTTTAAATTTGGATATCTGACCTGTGGTGTAATCCAAATGAAGTAACCATCAAATTTTCCTTCATGCACTGCTTTTAAATTCAAAAATAATAATTTCACCATTCCAAACACAAATCTTATTTCAAGCCAAGTGATCCCACAATCATTGTCAGTTCTAAGCACCAGTCAAATCCTACAGCCCACTTCCAAGCAGAAACACAGATTATTTACACTATAATGGAGTTAGAGGGGTAAAACTCAGACCTCACCTGACCAGGTCCCCATGAAGCTGTAAATAAAGACTTTCCCTTCCCTCTCCAGCACAGATCTCTGATGCTGGCGTCTCCACAGTGCACAGAACCAGATGCAAGTCGGAGGAGGCGGAGGCAGAAGCGCTGGCGGTGGCAGTGGTCGAGTCCGCTCCGTACAGGTACACACAACCTCTCCTGACATCTTCTCTCAGCCAGTCTCTTTCTCGAGAACCAAACCTACTCCGCCTATTCAAACAATTCCTGCTCCCATTGCGTTTCATATTTCTCTAAAAAACATCAAGAGAAAGAAATTATTAGCTAGAAAGTCTGGCTGAGTTCGCCACGTTCGGGCCTCACCCCACCCTTCCACTCTCTATTCACCGACCGCACCACCCGGCCTTGGGGCCTTCCACAAACGGCCCATTCCTAAGCTGGAAAACAATTTCCTCTCCTGCCAGCTGTTCGTGGCCTGTCCGTCACTCTGTCTGACTTTTTCTTTTTCTTACGTTTTCATAAAAATGTAAGAATAATAAAATTATCTGTGTACCTACTACCTACTTTCCACAGATTTTAATATTCTGTCATATTTATTTCAGATCCTTATTCTAAAGAACATACATTCTTACATCTAAGACTTACATGTCTTACACACATATAAGAATATATACATATATATATATATACACACACACATACATACACAGCTGAAGTCACCTGATACCCCACTTCAATCCCATTTCCTTCCCTCTCTCCCCAGAAACACTCTGGTGTACTTCCTATTCGCCAGTCCGTGCATTTTTATGTCTGCCATATTTGTACATATCTATAACTGAATACAATTGTTTTCCATGATTTAGAACTTTAAATCCTAACATACTTGTTTCTTTTTTTTTTTTTTCCTAACATTGTTTCACACTGACATTTTTTTTATTTGGTTCAACACTGGTCACGCTAATACGCCCAGCTCATTCATTTAAGTAGTATCTCATTATATGAATACACTGCAATTTTTCCATTCTCCTGCTGATGGCATTTAGTTTCTAATTTTTTCACTTTTAGAAACAATCCCGCATTAAACATTTTTGTTTATGTCTCTACAGTGCAAACTGAAGTTTCTCTAGCGTCCTGACCCTCTGCCTCATATCACAAATAACACAATGTTGCACAAATATTCTTTCTGTTCTAATGTTTCCAAAAAATTAGTGATACGTTTGATAATTTAGGTATGTGAAATTCACACATACGGTGGTTACTTCAAAGCAAAAACAAATGCTACAGCAACATGACAAATCTCTAAAGATCAATAGTGACTTACTCTATTTTCATGACGGGCCAGTTCTGTTCCCTTTTTTAAGATTTTATTTATGAGGGATGCCTGGGTGGCTCAGTTGGTTAAGCAGCTGCCTTCGGCTCAGGTCATGATCCCAGCGTCCTGGGATCGAGTCCCGCATCAGGCTCCTTGCTCGTCAGGAAACCTGCTTCTCCCTCTGCCTCTGCCTGCCACTCTGTCTGCCTGTGCTCGCTCTCTCTCCCTCTCTCTCTCTGACAAATAAATAAATAAAATTAAAAAAAAAAAAAAGGTTTTATTTATGAAATTATTTGAGAGAGAGAGAGAGAGAGGAGGGAGGTGGAAGGGCATGGCAGGAAAGAGGAGGGAGAAGGACAAACAGACTCACTGCTGAGTAGGGAGCCCTACACCTGTAGCCCCATCTCACAACCCTGAGATCATGACCTGAGCTGAAATCAAGAGTCGCATGCTTAACTGATGGAGCCACCCAGGTGCCCCTGTTCCTTGATATAAAGGCATTTCCATTAACACACTGCCATACCTCTCTAGCATCATTCTCTGTTACCTGTCACTGTTTCAGTCATACCCAGCTTCTTGTAACTCCCCTAAACACATCCTGAGTGCAAAATTCTGTGACTTGTCTGAAATGTCCTTCCCCGTCTTGCCCATCTGACTAGATGGACTTCAAAACTCTACTCACATCACCCTCTCGTGTTCCATATGGAGCCTTCCATGTATCCCATCCCCATTTTCTCTGGACAGCTAGAATTAGTGACTCTACTCTCTTCATAGGAGAACCTCTTCATCTTGAATGTATGTCTTCTAGTCCTTTGGGGGTTACAGTGGGGTTTTTTTTTAAAGATTTTATTTATTTATTTGACAGAGATCACAAGTAGGCAGAGAGGCAGACAGAGAGAGAGGAAGGGGAGCAAACTCCCCGCTGAGCAGAGAGCCCAATGTGGGGCTCGATCCCAGGACCCCGAGATCATGACCTGAGCCGAAGGCAGAGGCCCAACCCACTGAGCCACCCAGGCGCCCCTACAATGGTTTTTAATCATGCATTTGATATTTCTTCCTCCCTTCTACACTGAGAATCTATTATAGTGCCTTAATACCTGAGTGGCATGCAGAACTCACAGAAATCACAGAATATATTATCAGTCTGTAATATAGCTCAATTTGCTCTGGCAAGAAGTTGAACAAAACTTGAGGAGAAAAATCTCCTTTTTTTACAGAGAACACTAAAATATTTTTACCAACCACAAAGTAAATATAAGACTTTTGCTACTAATCCTCATTCGAAGTCAGAAATACCTATAAATAAAGCAAATATTACTGTTGTAGTTACTGAGATTAAGTATTTGAGGATAATTGTGGCACCTAAATTTAAATTTCTAAGATGATAAAGAAAAGTGAAGGAAACGTGAGAAGGCATTTCCACGTGGGAAGAAAGAAAATTATGAGTGAGAATGGCTTCATTGTTTAAATTAAGGATAACAGAGGGTGCCTGGATGGCTCAGTTGAAGCATCTGCCTTCGGCTCAGGTCATGATCCCAGAATCCTGGGATGGAGCCCCGCATCCGGCTCCCAGCTCAGTGGGAAGCCTGCTTTTCCATCTCCCACTCCCCCTGCTTGTATTCCCTCTCTCACTGTCTCTCTCCCTCTGTCAAATAAAATCTTTAAAAAATAATAATAATAATAACATTTAAATTAATTAATTAAGGATAACAGGTAAATCCATCATTTTACAGATATTAAGGATTTGAATATAGCTATTCAAAACCATTAAGGATTATTACTGATTCTAACTTTAGATAAGTAGGATAAACCCCAGCTACAAGTAGGAACTAGGTCTCTCTCTTGACCACAAGAGCATTTTCTCAAAGCTGAACATCCCAGAATTAACAAAGGGATTTCAAGTACTTATTTTAAAAAGACAAAGACCATCATATTTGTCTCAGTAATATCAGCCACTGAATACAATTAATCACTGCCTAATTTTAAATATCCCCTATTTTTTAGTCTTTGGAAAAGATCAACTGGCCCATCCAAAACTGTATTCCATAAGGTACAGCAACATTTATACAAAGAAGCTCTGCATACTGCACTGACTGGAGAGAAATTTTGCTCCCTGCCAATAAGAGAGAGCAAGTAGATACTATACCACAAAACCACCAAAAAGCTTTTTTTTTTTAAAGATTTTATTTATTTATTTATTTGACAGCAATCACAAGTAGGCAGAGAGGCAGGCAGATAGAGGGGGAAGCAGGCTCCCTGCCGAGCAGAAAGCCTGATGTGGGGCTTGATCCCAGGACCCTGAGATCACGACCCAAACAGAAGGCAGAGGCCCAACCCACTGAGCCACCCAGGCACCCCTGCCACCAAAAAGCTTCTTAAAAAAAACTTTTTGGGTGGCTCAGTGGGTTGGGCCCCTGCCTTCGGCTCAGGTCGTGATCTCAGGGTCCTGGAATCGAGCCCCACATCGGGATCTCTGCTCAGCAGGGAGCCTCCTTTCCCCTCTCTCTCTCCCTACTTGTGATCTCTCTCTGTCAAATAAATAAAATCTTAAAAAAAAAAAAAAAAAACAAACTTTTTCAAGTCAAATAATAGCCCAATGATCTTCTCAATCCTAGAAAAGTCAAGAAAATCCCAGGAAGTTTTATTAGTTCATCCATGAATTTTCTTCTGGGAGGATTTTTAAAAGTCATTTTTAGGGGCGCCTGGGTGGCTCAATCAGTTAAGCATCTGCCTTCGGCTCAGGTCATGAACCCAGGGTACTGGGATCCAGCCCCACATCAGGCTTGCTTCTCTCTCTCCCTCTGCCATTCTCCTTGCTTGTGCGTGCTATCTCTCTCTCTCTCTCTCTCAAATAAATAAATAAATAAAATTTTGGGAACAAAAAATTTTGAAAGTCATTTTTAAATGTATTTATGGGGGGCTCAGTTGGTTAAGCATCTGACTTTGGCTGGGGTCATAGTCTCGGGGTCCTGGAATAGAGCCCTATGTCTGGCTCTCTAACTACCAGGGAGTCTGCTTGTCCATCTCCTTCTAGCCCTCCCCTGCTCATACTCTCTCAAATAAATAAAGTCTTAAAAAAAAAGTGTTTCTATATTTCCCTTAAGACTATAAATCCCTGGCAGCTCTTCCTGCCCATGGGTTCTGTCCCTCTGCTTTAATAAAAACACTTTTTGCACTGGGGGGAAAAAAAGACTATAAATTTCTTACTGAAACACATGTGTTGTTGGTCAAAGAATGTATCTCCTATTTATATGATATATTCCAGACCCCATGCAGATAAACTGTTGAGTTAGACCTTTAGTAGATATCATTCCCTTAAACCTGTTCAATGGGCATTTAAAAGGCCTAGACACCAAGCAAGCATAGCCTTCCAGTGACAATCTAGATGGACTGTTCAGCTGTTATTCGCTATTGCTGAATTACTTAGCGCTTCCTTCTCCACTGCGAAAAGCATCAGATAACTGCTGGAAAGGCCAGTCTATCAGGGTCCGCTGATAGACTCTCACCTTTTAGAATCACTTTTCCACTGAAACTGCTAGATTAAGAACATTCTGTTGCTTCCCTTACTTTTATGTAAATCTGTGGACAAACTTTTCTAAAAGGGAACAGATCTATAATCAACTCACATCAAACAACTGTAAAAGAGCACATTTCCGATTTAAATAGGGGACCTGGGTGGCTCAGTTGGTTTAAGCGACTGACCTGATTTCAGCTCAGGTCATGATCTTCAAGATCCAGAGTCTCCCAGAGCAGAGCCTGCTTGAGATTCTCTTTCTCCCTTTGCCCCTCCCCCATACTCTCCCACTTCCAAAAAAAAAAAAAATAAATAAAATTTTAAAAATTTAATTATATTCAGAAAGTGCAAGTCTTTAAAGTAAGCCATGAATTAAGTACTCACTTCAGTCTTAAGCTTTTAACTCTCTAAAAATGAAAATAACATATGAGGGCTGTGATCAAGGTGATAAACTATTAAACGCCCACATACAATTAACTCTAAGATATGTATGGGAAAAACAGAGTCTGGTCAAGTAACTCTCCCTACTCACTGAGTTCTATGAGAATGTGAAATACTGTAACGTAGGAGATTTGCTCCAGCATTTAGAACTTTAAAACAATATGGGCTCATCTTTAGGAATATATATATTAAGGATGTTTTGCAAAAGGGTGGGATGAGATAAGGAGAATATTTCCGTTCATTAGAAATCATTTTGGTATTCACTGATTTTTTTAAAAAACCATATAAACACATTACTTGGATAAAAACCTGGAACTAGTACTGACAAAAATGGATCTCAGGGGACTTGCTGCTCAGTTATAACTTCATGTCTTCTACAGTCTGAGTAAAAAATTAAGCCCCAACTTGTCACAAACATCTGGAAAACTATGCTTCACAGGTATTCCCAATAATCTTAAGAGTATCACAAATATCATATTCCAACAACAGTAAAGGGGTACATTCTAACTAGCAACTTGCTAAATAAATCTGGGAGCAGATTTTGACTCAAACTCTTCAATACCACATACTGATGGACTGAGATCTAATCTGGCTAAATTATACTGGTTTAGTTATATTAGCCTTTTTATGAAGATCTGTATTATTTGACAATAATGATGCTCATGACTTCGTAGTTAGTAAAAAAGCATCGCAAAATAAAATAAGCCTTTTTCAAAGGGTCTTCAAAGAACAAGTAGGAGATTATGACTTTTACCTAGATATCCTTTTCCAGTTTCACTTAGCACAAAATTCAACAACTCAGCTATTTAACGTAACTTCTGTATGTAGAACACACAGAACTTATTCTCCAAAGCCAGTCCCATTTACATGCAAGGATTACTTAAGTGTTGACCATATGCAATAAAGCAAGAGACACAAGGGCACTGTGGGCCTCCCATACCACCAACTCAGTACCATACTCAAGACCAATTTCTGGTATCTTTCTAACCGTCCCCAGATTGGAGCCCCAGGGAACCAGTGGTAAATCTGACCACTTCATACGTCTAGGAAGACAGGACCCTCGAATCAAGAGCCTCCTATCTCAATTCCTTCTATCTCACAATTCACTCCCTCCCCCACAAAAAGTTATTATAAAAAAAAAAGCCAAGGTTGTTTATCTTCTAGGCCAGAGGGCATTACCTATCTCTCAGACCTGCCATTTCCTGATAAGCCAGAGCAGCACAGCATTTTTTTTAAAGCTCATTCACAATTTACATTTGATGACCTTACAGTTTTAAATAAATATCTAAAGGCCTTAAAGTAATAAGACTTAAAACTTATGGCTAAATAAGTTAAAATAAATATGTACAAGCTTCATGCAGAAGTAAAGGTAAACTATGAGAAGTTATTGCTTTAAGTCACTGCATTAAGATTGGGAGGTAACAGCAGAAAAAAAAGTGTTTTCTATTTCACGGAGTTCTATTTTATGTTGTTTCATGGATGGATTCACCAGATCCTTCACATCTATTTTTTTTTCAGTGTTTCCCTCTTAGCAGTGTCTTGCAAATAATCTTAATATACAGTGCTCACCCTTAATTCCAATTAACAGCTATTAATTAATGTATTTTTAACATCATGTATTTTCACTGTTGCAAAATAGTTTTGAAAGACATCAAAACCTCTTAATTTTCTTTCCTCTCTTCCGTCTCGCTGGCAAGTTTTAAATCCTGCTGATTTCCTCTTCTAAAACTCTAGAAGGAATTCTATTTCATCTCCAGAAGGACATCTCGTTTATATACTTGACCTACAGAAAAATTCTTCTCCAACTATTTCACAGGCCAGTAGAAAACTCCATCCAGTTAGTCTCCCAGAACCTCTCCTTTTAAACCATCTTTACTGTCCCCTGCCGACCCTACATTCCTTGTGCATGTAAACTTCTTGTCATTCCCTTCAAGGCTCCACTCCCCGCCTTGCCAGCATCTGCTTTCATTTTCCTCCTACTCCCCCCAATTCCTGCCCCAAAACCCCGCTAGCTGCCTGTTGCATAATCGCTCCCCCATTACCGTCTCCCTGGATTGTTAGCCCGGCTCCCGCAAACCGGAATGCCCTTTTTGCCAAACCCCTCCTCCCTGCTGCAACACGCCCAGAGATTCCCCGAGCTTAAGCTCCTCCGGGGATTCTCTGTCCGGGCGGGCAGGTGGAGCTTACAGGCCGGCGCCTCGGAGCGGGGAGCCGGGTCCTAACTTCGCTGGTGAGCCCCGAGGGCAGAGTCGGCCCGCTCCACCCGGCGCAGCCTAGAGCACACGGCAGCACCCGGCCAATCACCGCCGCCATCCTCCCGCTGGGGTGATGTCTTCAGGTGTCCGGGGAGAAACCCCTGCGTACTTCCAGCCACGCTCTCGGGCCACTGGCGACCGGCCGCCGGCCCCCAGCGAGGCCGAGGACAGCCGAGGCGGGCCCCCGGGTCCCGGAGGAGCCGGGTGGGCGGCGGCAGCCGGGCGGACGCCGGACCGAAGGCGTGGGCCTGCGAGGCGGGTGGCGCGCGGCCAGGGATGGGCAGCGGAGGGGAGACGGAGGCGGCCGAGGCCTCGGTGGGGGCCAGGCGTGAAGGCCTCGGCGGGGGCTGCGGCGCCCCCAGCCGGACTGCGGGACAGCCGAGCGGCGAAGCGGACAGACTGACGCGTCGCGGGGGTCGCCGGCTGCCTCGGCCACCGCGCGGGGCAGGGGCGGCCTCTCCCCGCCCTTGCTCTCTCCCCAGCCCGCTCGCCTCACCTTCAGGACCCGGATCCCGCCTGGCCGGCGGCTCGCGAGCGCTTCGGGCGGCTCCGGGGGCTCGAGCGGGCCCGCGGGCCCCGGCTCCACCTCCCCCATGGGTGGCGGAGGCTGCACAGGGACGCCGGGCCGGCGCGACGGCGCGCGAAGCCTCGGCGGCGCGCGCGAGCAGCCCGCGGCCCCGCCCCTCGCGGCCGCCCGCCCCGCCCCGGGCCCCGCCCCTCCCCTCCCGCAGCCCAGCGGGACCTGCGTAGCTGCGGGCCCGGCGCGGCCCAGGCTGTGCGAGCCGCATCCTGGCTGGGCTGCTGTGTCGACCCCGCGGGCGGAGCCGACAGCCTCCGCAAGCCTGGGCCTGCGCTTCCCGCCCCGCCGCCCTCGGTTTGAAGGACTGAGGCACCGGGATGGTTATTTACTGCTATCCCCGCCTCCGAAGTACCCACTGGACTAGGGACAGGTGGGGGTCTGCACCTGTTAATAATGACAGAGCGCTGCCCTCCGCTGAGGGTGGCTCTTCTAACTTACCTCTCCCAGACGTTTCCTCTTTCTGCTTCAGAACTGGCCTGTCACTTTCACATGCAAAGCCACTGAATGGATTGTTGAGAATATGCACCTTAGCAAGGCCTTTTCCTTATTAGAGATGTTCACGATGTTCTTTAGCAAATTCGACCCAACCTCATGTACAAAATGTCAACTCACCTCCCAGCCACATTTTAATTCCCTCTTCTCCTCCGTTGGTAGAAGTATCAGAATTCTTTCCTCTGCCTCAAGCCGCAATATAATCTAAGGCCATTTTATTATTTGCAAGGCTAATTCAGAAAATTTCTAATTCATTATTTTAATTCCTGCAGTGACGGTACTTTGTGGCTAGCCAGTCAGCCAAATTTGGAGTCGGGCAGCCTGATTCCAAATCTGAGCTTTACCTCTTACTATACCCTTGTGCAATTTACTTGATTTGAGCCTTTGTTTCTCAGCTGTGAAATAGAAATTAGTATCTTTCTAGCAGTTATTACCTAGATTTTGTGAATGCATACAAAGTGCTTAGTAGGGATCCATAATAGCCATTATAATTCTGATTTTCCAAATCTAAGATTCACTCGATTCCTCAGTGTTCTCTTCTTGTAAATTCTACTTTAAATTTTCCCAGGATAACCTTTTAGACTTCTGGATTTGGGGGCTTTCCCTCTTAAAAAGGTGTTAATGAATCTTCAAGCAACATGGGAGGTATTAAGCAGCAAAAAATCAGTAATTCCCCGAGCTTTGAATTGGTAAAAATAGTATCACCTTATCCACTGCTCCAGCTTGCCTGGTCTATAACAACTATGTTTAAAATATTTTAACTATAGGTTTAGGACAAGAGAGTTTGAGATCTAACAGTACAGTCCATGCCCCCTCTCTACTATAAGATATGTAACCACTTGGAGATCTTTCAGATTACTGGACAAAATCTGACTCTTGTAGATTCTGACTCTGTACAAAAAGTTTAGTCACTACTTTCTCCCTTCACATGAGCTACTTTGCATATACCAAAACTCCGATCTCCAATAGTCTTCATTTGTGTCATTTTAAAATTAAAAATGACTTTTATGAGTCTGCTATATATACTTGAAACTACTTTCAAGGAAGCTACTCAAAGTAGTTGAAATCCCATTTCCATGCTTACTGGGTAACTTCTTCCAGCAAGAACACTGGTGTATAAATTATAGGCACCCATATGGGGAGAGAACTGGACTTTTGACAAAGGACAGAGAGACAGTGGAAAGACCAAAATGTGGTTCAGAATTAAGTGTTTGTAAAAGCCTGTTTCTTGAGGTTTTATACATTACATTTTCCGGATCTCGTAAGTTTTTTATTGATTAATCACCTGAAGGGAAAGGATTTTATCCCAGGGCCAGCATTTTGAGTTCATGCTGGGGAATAGCAGTGGTAGATTGGTGTTTTAATGAATGGAATAAGGGCTAATGCATAAATTCGGAATATAAGCGTATGTTAAAAGTTACTACTTCTTCATCAAAAACAGTAGTACCTCTTTCAAAAGGAAAACAAAAAATAAAAAACTACCAATCCAGATGTTCCAGGGAATTATTTACAATGCAACTCTTTAAAGGTCTCTTGTGTTTTAAGATCCAGTTCAGTAATCAACCAACTGGATTCTCCTTTTTCTTTCCAAATCATGTACTGCCATTAACATTTTATGTTGTTTCAAAGGTCACATATTCATGTTCTTCCCCAGTTCAAGGCAGTGTGCATTAATGTATGCCAAGGGTTATGTAACTATAATTTCTGGAAATGGTAAACAGCTGAGACTAACCCTAAAAATAAAATCCTCTGGGAATTTCTGTGCAAAAATCCATCTGCCCTCACTGCAGGTTCATCATTACACAAAAATCACTGTTTAGATCAAGCCAAGAGACAGAGAAGTCATGACTGTCTCCTCTCTGTATCCTTCCTATAAGCAGCTGCACACACGTCTCTCTCCACCTGAGGGAAGGACACACACACACACACGCTTTATCCCAGGAGCTTTTCCTAATCCTCACTACAAAATCAAAAGAAAGTCTGGAGAAGAAAAGTTTGTCAAAATGTGGTAGAAGACGGGGTGCCTGGGTGGCTCAGTGGGTTAAAGCCTCTGCCTTCGGCTCAGGTCATGATCCCAGGGTCCTGGGATTGAGCCCCGCATTGGGCTCTCTGCTCAGCGGGGAGCCTGCTTCCTCCTCTCTCTCTGCCTGCCTGTCTACTTGTGATCTCCGTCAAATAAATAAAATCTTAAAAAAAAAAAAATGTGGTAGAAGAGCCATAAGGTCTTATTACATTCACTTATTTATAGCTAGTTCCCACTCCTTTAATGACCACAAAATCATCTTTAGGCCTATTCTCCTTTTTACCACAAGTTGAACAAATTTAGATATCTTTTTTAAGATTTTATTTATTTGAGAGGGAGAGAGCACAAGAGTGGGACAAGGAGCAGAGGGAGAAGCAGACTTCCCGCTGAGCAGGGAGCCTGTGACAGGGCTTGATCCCAGGACTCCATGTTCATGACCTGAGCCAAAGGCAGATGCTTACCTGACTGAACCACCCAGGTACCCCGGTTTTAGACAGTCTTTATTTTAGTTCCAAAGAAACAGGTAGTATTTACCTGGCCTCAGTGTTTGATGTATTTTCAAAATATGGGGACAACTGAACTAGGGGAGGAAAGAGCACGGAAAACCCTTAGAAGTGATAAAAATTCATTCAGTCCTTCTGGACTGAAGTTCAATTCTGAACACTATTCACTGTATTGTTGACTAAGTGCCTGAAGTCTATTACTGGCTAATCTTTTCTACTGTAGCTTTTATATTTTCCTCTAACAGGAAATTACATGCAGATGAACATGTTAATTAAATTTAATATTAGAAACGATGAATTTTAACTAAACCACATATAGGATAACAGAAATGTCACTTATCAGTGCCAAAGAGCATTTCTGCAAAAACTAGATTAATGCTGAGACTTCTTGTCCTTCTCACTTAGGGGGCTTTCACGCCCTCCCCCTTCTCAATCAAGGGAGTATCAGGGTTCACCCAAGTAACAGAAAACGTATAGCTTCCGACATCCAACCACTCTCACTTCTCCAGAAGAATTCATTTAAAATAGATCCTGAAATAGAATTCATTTTGGCTGGTTAAACCTTGCTCTTCCCAGTCACAGATACACTTAAACAATTTACAAATAGCTTATAACTAAAACCCCATGACCAACTCTAAATACACATTTCACTTTGATACGATTTCTTTGCTTTGCTTGTTAATTCACCCATGTGGAGCAGCATGAGCTAATAATCATTAATAAAAACTTCCAATTGCACTTTTTGACTGGTACGGACTACAAGTTTTTTTTTTTTTTTACAATGTTCAAATTCTTCTAGGTGGATTTCTGTGTTTAAGGAACATTAACAGGTCAGTAAGTTTAGCCCAAAGCTCTGGGATAAGAATTCATTCAAGGCTTCTCTAATCTACTTGTAAGAAGCAAGGAAGCAAATTTTAAATCATTGAGTATTGACTTTTTATTATTAGTCACTGTTCATAATTTGTTTCAACCAAAAGACAATACACACAGCAGAATTCTAATGCATCCCATGTAAATGTTTACATCCATTTTATTCCTCACTCGCCTCTAAGACTTATCATTTAATTTTAAATTTCTTTTTACATCTCAAAAATATGTCTGCAATAATTAGAATTAGCCGTCCCACTTAGAAACAGCCTTTTAATATTTTTACAGTAAAGAAGATGTGATGGGGCTTAATGAAAATGTAACTTACAACAATTATGAGAGAAAAGGGACTTTACAGGGACACAGTGGGAGTTCACAAAGGAAAGAGTCCAGAAGCTCTTTCCCATGAGCGAGCCCCCCCAAACTGAAAACAAAAACAAAACACACAAAGCGCAACAGCAGGTTCCAAAAACAAAAACAAAAAAGAACTTGGACGCTCCATCCTGAAGCCAGAATCAGCCTCACAGAAGTTCACGAAGCAACTGTGCAAGCTACTTCAGCACGTTCTTCTGTTTAAGTGTCCTGGGTCCTGGATCCCCGCAGATGGAGCCCCACTCACTACTATTGCTTGAAAAAGAGTGATTCACTTCCACTTCCACTTCCACAAGCAGCCCCACCCTCCTGAGCCAAAGCTGGTCAATGTGTTTTAAACTTCAGGACTTTGCGCTGTTCAGTGACCCTCCCCACTCCCAAACACATGAGTGAGTATACAGTCGTGGACCACCTCTCCACCAACCACTAATTCGTGAATATCCACTTTTTGCTCTCTAGCTCTCACTTGGTTTAGGACAATGTGGATAAAATACATTCACTAGAAAAAAAATAAGACACATTCAAACTTTCTTCCCCCTAGTTCTCATGGCCCAAGTATTTTCCAATGAGGAAAATAATAAAGTTGAACCTCAAAACAGTATTCCCCTAACTTCCAACCTCTTCTAGAAGAACATAAAAATGAAAAGCATGTTATACAGTAGATGGAAATATTCAAACCGTTAGTGCTGAACAGTTTTTAAATGTCTACTTTCTTATATGAATGGGACAAATAAAGGGTATGAACCACATCTTTAACCTAGTTGAGAGAAAGAATCCCCGCCCGAAAGTTACA